ACATCATGCATCGGCCGGGGCGGGGCTTCAGAGGCCTGTGCGCCGGGAGTCTGGATATAGAGCTCGTCCTCGCCCTCGCCACCAGCCACCTGCCATTCGCGCTTGCTCTGGGGTGCTGGGGGTCCAGGCGAACCGGCCACGAAGGTGAAATTCACGAAGTTCACGTCCCGGCCGGAGTCTGATTTGCGTTGGGCTGCCGGCTGGTGTGGCGGGTCCCTTCCAGACAAAACGTTGGGACAGCACGGGTCGCCTCTCCAGTGCCCAGTCTTTCCACAGCTCGCACAGGTAGAGGAGCGCTTCTTGTCAGCAAGGGACCGCGAAGGGGAGGAAGTCGATGAAGAACCGGGCTTGCTCCATCCACGGGCCTTCCGCTGGGCTGCTTGCTTTCCTTTCGCCTTCCAGCCGGCCGCAAAAGCCTCCAACGCCGTCTCGCCATCCACGGTGCCCTCCTGGGAGGTGGCCTCATCGTCAAAGGGGTGGCCCTCCTCCTCGTAGTCAAGCTATTCCTCGGGCACCTCCGTGTCCGGGTCGGGCTCAGCAAGCTCACCCTCGATGACCATCTTGTCCAGGTCCTCTTCCTCCTCTATATCCTCCAGCTCGGCCCCCGCCACATGCACGGAGTTCCTCTTGCGAAAGCCAAAACCACGGGAAGTAGTAGAGCTCGACCGCTTGGTAGGGGAAGAGGAGGTCGAGGACGGTGCCGTGGATCGTGCCGAGGGGGTCGTCGAGCGCGAACTCGGAAGCGACGATGGCACTCGCCGCTCATCCTCATGCACGGTGGCACACCTGTATCGAAGAGCGGCCTCGATCTGCACCGGGTCATAGCCACCAGCACTATAGTAAACATCCAAGCGCTCGCGGCGGCCCAAGGAAGCCCGGTTCAGTAACCTTTGGCCCCAAGCCTTGGCACTCATCACCGTCTCGGGGTCCACCCTGACATATTGGGCCTTCAGCCGCTTCATCCCGGCCACATAGCTAGCTATCGACTGGCCTGGCAAGCGGCGATAGCTTTGCAACTCACGTTCCGCACGCTCAAACTGCTCACAGGAGGTCTCGTCATAGCTCTCGTCCAGCAGCTTCCACAGCACAACATCCCCCCCGGGACAGGTATATTCTGATAACGCCAGCTGGTCGAGCACATCTCGGGCATCTCCCTTGGTCGAAAGATAGACCAGCATTGTGACCTCCTGCGCCTCGAGCTGGTAGAGCTGGGTCTGCGCTTCGATCGCCCT